CCTACCCTGGCCTAGAGGGTGGCTGTGAGTCGGCCTGGCCTCGATGGCAGAGTCTGTCTGACGGAGCGTGCGGCTTCTCTGCCGCAGGTTTCACGGGGAAGGCTACCGGGAAGGCTACGAGGAAGGAAGCAGTCTGGGTGTGGTGGAGGGGCGGCAGCACGGCGCGGTCTACGGAGCCAAGGTCGGATCTGAGGTGAGCAGGGGCCCGGCGTCTCGAGAACTGGCCTCTGGTGCGATTCAACCAGAAGGCCGGGCCCGGTGACGGCAGCGTATTCGCAGAGTGGTCCCACCACTGCCCCGACTGCAGATGAAACTGCAGTACTGCAGGAGGACCCACGTCTGTACTGATGGGCACCGGGGCCTCTGGGGGGCCTGAGCTCGCGGCACGCCAGGGCCCAGCCTTTGACACAGCGCAGTCTGACCACCTTCCTGTCGCCCTGAGCTGTCACCACGCCTTTCTTTGACCTCTTCTCCACTTTGATGGGGCATCACGGGGCTGTCCGGTGGCAACTTAAGCCAGCCGCATGGTCACTGACAGTGTGCCCCTGGAAAACACCCGATGTAGGTGCCCACTGGCATTGAGCGAAGCCTGCAGCTTTCCCCGGTTGGCCCTCACAGATCGCTGCCCTGACCAGCAAGTCTGCGGAGTCTCAGGGTGTCGGGTAGACAGAGTTGCTGCGAGTGCTCAGCGCAGAGCGTGCGTGCTGCAAACACCAGCGTTCCTGGGAGCAGCCCGGCCGGCGCTCTGGTCCTGCTTCTCTGGGTTTGGGGTCAGGGTATCCGCCCTACGGGGGCTTGACTGGGCTAGAGGCGCTCCCTTCACAGTGGAGGCTCACAGGACTGTTCTGGCCGCCTGGCACTCTCCCCCAGCCCATGCTCCTGGACAGCAAGGCAGGACCACGGTGTCCTGTCCCTCGGCCCGGCCTGGCGGCAGTGTGCACGGCAACGGGCTTCTGCCCTCCTGTCCAGTGCCCGCGACCGCGCTCTAGTTTCCATCCTGGCCCCTCCACTTCCGGGGATCGAGCGTCCCTCCCCCCAGTGTGCTCATCTTTGTTTTAAAGGCGTGTTGACCACACTGAGGAGCCCCGGTGGTGCAGTGGTTATGCGTGGGCTGCTCACTGGGAAGTTAGCAGTTTGAAACCACCAGCCGCTCCACGGGAGAAAGGCGAGACTTCTCCTGTGAGCAGGCACAGTGTGGAAACCCACAGGGGAGGGTCTGCCCTGCCCTGTAGGGTCGCTCGGAGTCAGAACAGACTCAATGGCAGTGAGGTTTTTTTGGGGGAGGGGGTTGACCACACTTGGGGTGAAGGTGTCTCCTGTAGCTCAGACTCAGAAATCCCTGGCCCTGCTCCTTCCTCCATGACGTACCCCAGACAGGGAGACTCTGAGGATGAGGCCAGAGGCCACCTGGGCGCCCTTGGCATAGTGGTCACATGTTGGGCTGTTGACAGCAAGGTCGTTCTAAGGCTGCTGACCGCTGACCCACCAGCTGCTCCATGGCTTTCTGCTCCCGTAAAGAGTAGAGTTCCGGAAACCCCAGGGGCGGCTCCACCCTGTCCTCCAGGGGTGTGGACACGGTGGCACGGCGTGTGGCATGGGTACCAGGACCCAGGCAGCGAGGTGCTTGGTCCCATCTCCGTGATGTTTTCTGACTTGACAGATTGGCTGCTATCACGGCTTTGCTCTTGCCTGGAAATGCCTCCTGCACAGCCGCCCGGCCGCCGAGAAGGACAGGTAAAGTGCAGAGTTTGGGGTGCCGTGCCGGAACCCCTGTGGCTTCTCATAGCCATCGCGGCGGCTGCGGAGACCGCATGGCCCAAGTTGGTGACTGAGGGTCTGCTAGGGAGTGAACAAGTGGTCATGCCCGTGAGAAGCCTTCAGGGTAGTTGTTTACCAGCACGCGTTACAGTTTTGCCCAGTCTGCTAACAGATGTCCAAAGGGCACACTGCCCTGCTGGAAGTCCCAACCCGAAGGCCTTCAGCACAAGCTCTGTGGTTCAGCAAGCCCAGCTCCCTGATAAGTCAGTGTCCAGAAGCACCCACTCCAGGAAGCCTCAGCTTGGCTCCACTTTGTGCACCAGAAGCCCCCTCGCCCGCAGTCCCCAGCCAGGTGTGGGGGGCTTTAAGTCCCTTGGGCTCTTGCTCTGGTCTTGGGGACTCAGCCGCAGAGAATACCTGCGCTGTCCTTGCAAGACCCAGCGAGGTTGCTCCCCCACCGCCACTCCAGCAAAGCTCCTGCCCCGTGGACAGCTCACTGGGCTCCCTGCAGCTGAACCCCACAGGCTGCCTCTCTATATCCTGGAGAGTCCCCACATCCCAAGCAGGCTGCTTCCTGTCCCCACGCTCTCTGTCTGTCTGCACACACTCAGCCCAGGTCCAGAGCAGGCCGCCTCCTGCCCCCTGCGTTCTGCCCCGCCCGCCCACTCTGTCTGTCTCTCTCCATGCTTCTAGCCCAGGGGCCCGCCATCCCGCGGCCCCATGTTGGGTGCTGAGGCCCTGGGTGTGGGCAAAGGCAGGCTGCCAGGTGAATAAACACTGTCATGTGACAGAACTGACGCACTCACCCGGATCACGGTCAACAGATGTTCCTGGTGTCCCTTTCCATGTGAACTGGGCGCAGCTACAGCACGAGTGGCCGTGTACCCCCGGGAACAACGTCTGCCTCCCTGTGTTCACAGCAAAAAGATGAAGGCCCTGGACTCACTGGTTGGAATGATCCAGAAGTTCCCGTACCAAGACCCCGCGTATGAGCGGCTACACGAAGACTTAGACAGAATCCGAGGGAAGTTTAAGCAGGTTGGTGCGTGCGTCTCCCCTGAGGACAGGCTGGCGGGTGGGCGAGCGGGCAGGAAGAGCCGCCGGGGGCGCTGAGGACTGCGCGTCCTTGGTAGAGTGACACACAGGCCCTCAACAGCCAGTGACCTCCCCTCGTTCCAGCTGTGTTCCTTGCTCAACGTCCAACCGGACTTCAGGGTTCCTACAGACGGCCCTGGACTCTCGTTTTGAGGCGGAGAAGAGGACAGAGGACACATCCTGAGCCAGCTGTCCCTGCAGTGCGCGTCTGAAACGGGACTAAAGGCCAAGTGACGAGGGGTCTCCACTGTGGGCTCTGTCCGCAGCAGTCATGCCAGGTCGGGGTCCTGTGCCTTGGCTGCTCCCCCAGGGGGCCACCTAGCCATCCCAGAACCGGGAAGGGAAACCAGAGGACCAGTTTGTAAGACAGTGAGTCGGGGAGGTGTGTAGTGAGCCCCTGGGGCAGGGACAGTCACTGCGACCCTTCCTGATCCTCACCTGGGGGTGGGCACTGTGTTGTGTTGGATTAGATCACAGCAGGAGTCTCTTCTATGGAGAGTCACGCAGAGGCCCCACGTCTGACCACCTGGACCAGTACCTGCCCAAGCACAGGGCCATCTGACGTGGAGTTCAGGCTCCGGCCCGGATGGCAGCAGCCCCAGCGAATGCTGGCCTGTCCTGCTTGCAGCAGGCTTGGTGGGCAGTGCTGAGACAGGGAAGTGGCCAGCCTGGCCCAGGAGCTTCCATGAAGGCATGGCCAAGCCCCTCACCTTAAAACCCCCAGCTGAACTGTCCCTGAAGCCTCCTTCCACCCAAGCAGCTGCCCCCACTCAACTAGGAGGAGGCCTGCCCTGAGCCTCTGGCTCTTTGGCCAGCTCTCTGTGGGGTCGCATTGACCACAGCAATGGAGAGCTTGGGGGCAGTGCGTGGATGTCCCTGGGGGAAGAACAGCTCAGAAGAGGGTGGCGGTGGTGTCCGTCTGCTGCTGAGTGACGCAGAGCTCCGCCCCGCACGTTCTCAACAGCACCGAGAGGCCAACCGAGGACCTTTCACCTGTGCCCCTTCGGTGAGCAGTGCCGGGGCCCTCAGACCTTGTCTGCGGTGCGGCTCTGGGTTTCTCCATGGAAACGCAGCCCAGGGACCAGAAGCACTCGATGGTGTCCAACTTCCACCGCAGCTGGGGCAGCTGGGCCCCGGAGAGACTGGGAGGCCAGTGTACAGCAGGACTCCAGGCCACACTTACTGGCCGGAGTCAGTGGCCCTTAGTCATCTGCAGGCCCAGAACTAAACTCAGCCCCGTGTTGGAATACGCAGCCATGTAGGATCCCAAGGGCAGCGTTTACCCAAGGACGCGTTCGGAGGGTGAGGACAGAAAGGGACAGGAAGCCAGGAGGATGGGGGCTCACGGGGAGTGCAGTAGACGAGGTGAGACAAAACATGTGGATTAATCGTTGAGTACGAGACTATGATTTTCCCCCGAACCATCACCTGATTCATAATAAAAAGGTTTATCAAAAGATGGTGTAACGCACTCCGTTAATGGACGAAAATGAAAAACCTGCGTGATCCTCTCGGTGCAGAGACGTCCGTGCAGGAAACACTGTGTTTACGGAGCTCACCGCCCACGCAGGCCAGAGAGACTGAGGGCTTCCACGCGGAACAAGGGGCCCCAGAGAAAGATCCGGAATCCAAGGCAGGAAGTGGGAAGTCGTGGGTTTGCCTGCCGGGACGCCGCACCCTCTCATGATCCGTAGTGTTTAAAGAGGTCCTGGTGGTATTGTGGGCGTACTTAGCTGCTGCCACGTCAGCTGTTCAAACCTACTAGCCACCCCACGGGGGAGAGGAGGCTCTGCTCCTGTGAGGATGTGGCCTTGGAAAGCCAGAGGGGGCAGATCTGCTCTGTCCTGTCAGAAGTGACTGCAGGGCAGGGAGTTAGTTCATCATGGCAGCAGGGCCTTGGTGGCACCGTGGCTAAATGACCAGCCTCAAGCCACCGGCCCCTCCCTGGGAGAGAGAGCTGGCAGAGGCCGACTACCGTGGAGCGCCCATAGCCCGGTCCTCCTTAGCCAGTGAGCCAGAATCAGTGCAAGGGCATGGGCGCTTGGTTGGCTGGTGCCGTGTTAAAAGCAGCACTGGCTGATACCCCAAAGGCCAGTGGTTCAGGCCCAGCCAATGCCCCAGGACAAAAAGCCGGGACCGCCTGTTTCCAGAAGGGTTGGAGCCCTGGGAACCCTGCAGGGTGTCTCTGTCTGCAGGGTCTTTCTCTGTCTGCAGGGCTCTCTGTTGGCAACTGGCCCGGGAGAGCTGGGCCGCCTGCTTTCTGAAGGGTCAGAGCCCTGCCTTCAGGGTCTGAGAGTCGGGATGGCAGCACCTGACTGTATGGAGGACTGGCCAGTGGCCCTCAGAGAGTTCGGTGGCCACACCCATGGCTGTCTGCTGTCCACACCTCCCATCCCATCTGTCTTGTTGGCTCTCGGACGCGATACCCCCACACTCTTGAGGGGAGAGCCCACATGGGGGCTGAGGGAGGAAGACAACACCTCTGCTGGGCTTCACACACCCTGCAGGGCTGAGGCTGAGACAAGGGGCTCACCAGGCTTGCTGCGTGCACCTCATCCCTGCCGCCAATGGTGGGCTCGCACTTACTGCAGGGGTGGGGGTGGGGTGGGCAGTGGCCATCTCCCTGGTAAGGTTGATCTTTTATGCATCATCTGCTTTGACTAATGTGCCTTTTTTTAATCACTGGGGAAGCAAATACACATCATAAATCCTGGGCTGGTTGGGACCCTTTATAGTAGAGATTTGCCCGATTCATAACAGTAGCAAAATGATGAAGTAGCGACGAGAATAATTTTATGGTCTGGGGGGTGGATCACTACAACATGAAGAACTGTCTGAAAGGTTTTGGCATTAGGAAGGCTGAGAACCACTGCTCTAGGGTGTCTGACCCTGGGGTCCAGGAAGGTGGGTCCCCACCAGCCTGTGGACTGTGGAGTCCATGGGTGACTGCTCTGCCCGCAGGGTCCTTCGGCTTGTCTGTCTCCTTCCTGCAGCCAGAAGGGCCCCCTGGTGGCGCGATGGTGATGTGCCTGCTGCTGCCCTGTGGGCAAAGGCCCGGCTGTCATCTGTTCCTAGAAGAGTGATCTAGGCTTCTTGTGAGGGTGGGGGCCGTTCTTGTCAGGCAGCGGGGCGCTGTGAGTTGCCCTCAGTGCCGCTGCACATGCCAGCAGCAGCGAGGCAGTCGGACAGTCTGGGCAGCACTAGCCCAAAGTGAGCCCTCTGAGTAGACTCCAGGTGCCTCCGAGCACACAGGACACCTGAGTTAAGCCAATGGCAGCAGGTTTTTGAAGGTGTCACCCTTACTGCAGGACCAGAATGTGGGGGGGCTGTAAAAGCAGATACCCACACTGTATTCTGAGAGAGGACACCAGCTTTAAATTGCTGAGAGGCGGGGTGGTGGAGGGGTGGAGCATGCAGTAGGTCAGGGATATTTGGGAACCTGCACCCATAGCCGCAGACCAGCGGCTACTGTGAATGATCGGCTGCTGACCTGAGAGCTGGAGACCAAGCTCTCGGAACAGCAGTGAGCCCTTCCCACCGCCTCGGCCCCAGCCGGCTGCGAGCATGTGGGGGGGGGTGCAGGGGCGGGTGTCTGTCAGCATCGGTCCAGGACCGGTGCCTGTGAGGCCGAGTTCAGACCTTCCACCTCCCCACCTTTTTTACCCACCCTGCCACCACCGTTCCTCGCGCAGACCCACCCTGGCACCAGGGTCCCCCACACAGACCGACCCTGGCACCCACTGTCCCTCACACAGAGTGACCCCCTCAGCTCTGCTGGGTGCGACCACTCCCTGCAGTGACCGCGCAGAATCCAGTGTGTCCACACAAAGACGGATCTGTTACGGCAGCAACATGCTACAACTGAGCATCAGGATCATCTAAGGATGCAGTGGGGCAGTCCGGACAGCCCACAGGCACACTTCTCTCAGACCCATTCACCACCCTGCTCGGCCAAGCGTTACAAAGCGCTTTGCTTGTGCCCACCAACAGCCTCCTGCCTGGATGCGCTCAGTTGCTCAGTCCTTTGTCTCTGCAGATAGCTGTGGGACACTGGACCTGGCCTGCTGGTCCTTGCCATCTTAGGCCCCCCCCCCACCTGGGTGACAGTGGACAGAGCAGATGACTTTTCCAGGGTCCACATACATTTTGTCCCACGTCATCAACTGCCATCCCACTAGGGCATACCACATATCCCCTCCCCCCTCTGTTTCGCTGCCGTTGTCCTTGCCCTGTGTCTAAGGAGGTTCTCACCACAGGGACCTTGGGTCCAAAGGGCCTGCCCTGCTCCCTTCTTATAGGTAGTCATCAGGTCCCCCTTCTCTGCCTCTGCTCACGTGACTCTTAGTGGTATGGCAAAACTGAGCAGTCCCCTGGTTAGGTTTCACATACACCTTATTTGCGTTACCGGCAAGCTGTCCAATCCCCGTGGTGGGCCACAAGGACCTCATTTGCATACTCACACTCAGTCATGCCCTTGTAGAGAAAGGCCAAATCCACGCAACCCATGGTATCCCATAACGAATCTCCACTCTGACAGCCTACTCAGCCCGCCCAGCCCAGCCTCTGCCTGTGCCCTCGTGGTCCTCTCTGCCTGCCCAGCCCCTCTTCCACGTGGTTGTGACAGACGCCAGCAGTGGACAGCGCCCCGTCACCGCCCTCCTGCCCTCCCGCTGATGCAGCGAAGCCAGGAGGTCCTCATCACCAGCAGTGGACACGCCAGCCCCGGGACTGCTGGGGTAGGTGGCCCCTGCTGAGAGGGACCTGTGACCTACGGGGTGTGCACTCAGAACCACCACAGCTGCTGGGGCTGGGGGGAGCCCCGAGCCAGCCATGCTGGGGTTGGGGTTCCGCTTTGCAGACCAAGCCCCTGCTCTCTCTCACTCCATCCACAAACTCTTCCGAACCTGTCCTCAGTGGGGCAGGTAGAGTCCCTTCTGGGGGTCCACGCACCAGGAGCCCTGGTGGTGTCGTGGATACACACTGGGCTGCTAGTTCAAAACCACCAGCCTCTCCACAGGACAAAGACAGGGCATGCTGCTCCCATAAGGAGGCACAGCAGCGCCTCTCAACCTGTGGGTCTCAACCTCTGGGAGTCAAACAGCCCTTTCACAGGGGTCGCCTGATTCCTAACAGCAGTACAATTACAGTGATGAAGTAAATGAAAATAATTTTACCGTTTTTTGTGGGGGGGTGTCACCACAACTTGAGGCCCGTATTACAAGGTCGCAGCATGAGGAAGGCTGAGAACCACTGAGCCGCACTCTCAGAAACCCACAGGGGCAGTTCGCCTCTCTCTGAGGGGTCACTGTCTTTTGTTCCTTTTGGTTGGTGGTGTCCAACCACAGTGTCCCTGAGGCCCCGGCCACCCTCCTCCACCAGAAGCGCCAGCAAGTGTGTGCAGCCGGCCTGTGCTGCTGGAACAGACTGGGACCGGGGACCCGGGAGGGAAGGAAGGAAGCCATTCCTCAGGAAGCCGAGGCTGCCCGTTCCATGCCCGAGATGTCAGTCCCCAGTCCTTTGTCCACACAGCTGTGGTGCTGTGGCCTCCAGATGCCCCGAGCCAGTTCCGCCTGCACAGGGACCAGCAAGCTGTCAGTAAAGTTTTATCAACACTCC